GCCAACATGGTGAAACCCCGTCTCTACTAAAATCACAAAAATTAGCCAGGCATGGTGGTGCACGCCTGTAGTCCCAGCTACTCAGGAGGCTGAGGCAGGGGAATTGCTTGAACCTGGGAGGTGGAGCTTGCAGTGAGCCAAGATCACATCACTGCACTCCAGCCTGGGCAACAGAGCAAGACTCCGTCTCAAAAAAATAAATAAAATAAAATAAAATAAAATAAAATAAAATGGAATGATCTCAAACATCATCCAAAGTGCATGTCTCAACTCTTCCCTAGGGATTCTGGGGTAGGGAAAGCTTACCGCTCTCCCACTCACCTCCAACCCCAAGTCTCTGCTTCCTCTGACACTGCCCAGTCTTCAGATTCTCTAGTTATCTTTACCGGTGACTGTATTGACACACAGCGTCTTCTCCATCAGCACAGCTTCCACTTACACCAGGCCTCTGCATATAAAGTAGATGTAACTAAAAGTTTGGGAAGTTTGTGGGGACTCCTAACAGAAGTAACCTAACACTGACTCATGGATATCCTCTGCTGAGGAATTCTCTCTGCATTTCTGCCAGCTCAGACTGCAGGCATCTGCCATGTTGCTAGAATCTGGCTTCCAGGCCTCTTTCTTCCCACTCTGGATGACAAAATAAATGAATGAATGAATGAATAAATATTCACATTTATATGTAAGATATGTGTGCATATATGTGTCTTGGTGTTTATATTTATATGTAAATATATGCGTGTGTATATATGTACACACTCACATACATATATATAAAAAAGTAAAAATTTTGGCAGAACCACTCAGTTCTCCCTTTGTCCCTTTGTTCTGCTCTCTCCTTATTGATCCCATCCTGGGGTTTGACTTTTCATTGCCCCGTGACCCACTAAAGAGTTTATTAGAACAAAGATAATCCCCTTCCTCATAGGAATTCTGTTGCCAGTTGCCGGAAAACTCAGAAACCCCACTAACCTAGCATTTGTGGAATCTCCCATTGTTCCTGAGCACTGGACACACTTTGTTTCCTATAATCCTCACTGGAACACTTCGACGCAATTGTTGTTATTCTCCTCATTTTGTAGATGAAGACCTGAGCTTCAGAGAGATCCAGTTCATTGCTTGAGCTCCAATAGCGAGTAAAGCCTATAAGGACAAAGCAGGGACAAAATCCCTGATTCCCTCATTCTAAATCACAACTTCCCCTTCTTCAGATAGTCCTCCATCCTGGATGCACATTAAAATGAGAGGCTTTAAAAACATCAGTGCTGGGCCTCCACCCTTGTACTGTGGGGGTGATGCCCAGGCAACTGCATATTTAGAAAGCTTCCCCTGTGATCCTAAAATGTAGCATTGCTCAGCGGCACATTGGTTCCAGCATATCAACCTTCCAGCCAGAGGAATTGAGTACTGTCACACACACACAAAGGCAAAGGCGATGCTCCCAGCTTTTCTGGACCACAGAATATGCACCACCCTGCAACCTCACCTAACCTGCTTCTAAACGTTTTCAGACCCCAATTTGATAACATTTCAGATGACCATTTACTTGTCCAACAGGTCTTTCCACGATCCTACTTTTCCTTATCCTCTTTTTCCTCTTCACAGGCATAAAACGGCGTTCTCACAGCTCACCAGCCCCAAGCACCAGCTCCACGAGTCGCCTTACATTGCCAGGTGGGTAAACAGCATTGCACCATTATCTTAGTGACCACAGACAACGGAAAGGACTAGTTTCTCGGGAATTGAGTTGATAAACTGAGAACCTGGCCCCATAGTTATCCAGTCTACTCACATTATCAGAGAGCTTTGTCTCTGTCACCCAAATTTGTGAGGTCCCTCTAGGAATGGGCATAAATATTTCTATAGTTGGTTCACAATCTCCCCCACTCGCCTATGGAAAAAATAGAATTTTGGTCCTCTTTGATGTTCATCTGGACATGTTACGGAAGGATCTGCCTTTTAGAGGCAGATAGTGCAAAGGAAGTAGTGTGAGCCTGTGGTGAGATTGAGACCCAGGTTTAAATCTCGGCTTTGCTGTGTTCAAATTGTGTGCTCCCTCACACGTGCTTCTTCAGCTTCTTGGAACTTCTGTTTT